TGAGTGTTAACAAACCCAGGGACAAGGGAACAACAAATGATCTAAAATCAATGGCAAGGAGGACATAGGATGCCTGGTAGGGCTTGATAAAGAGCAGTATAACAGAGAGGAATTACTGAAACCCAAATGAAGGCTGAGCATGATAGACAAGAGGAAAGTAAAAGGGAATAAGAGGAAAGAACTAGGAGGCAAAGGGCATTTATAGAGATCTAAATACAGGCATATACATGTATAAATATATTTATATATAACAATAGGGAAATAGCTCTATGTACATAAATATATTAAGTATCAAGGTAGCAGACGGACATTAGTCTCTACTGATATACTTCCTCAATGCAAGAACACTTTGTTCTAATAACCTGGCATTCTGTGATGCTCGGTTCCCCGACATGATCACTGAAGACAAAATGAGTGCATAGTAAATGTGGTGAAGAAAGCTGATGGTGCCAGGCTATCAAAAAGATATAGCATCTGGGGTCTTAAAGGCTTGAAGATAAACAAGCAGCCATCTAGATGAGAAGCAACCAAGTCCACATGGAAGAAGCACACCAGCCTGTATGATCACTAGGTGTCGAAGGGTTCAGGTATCAGGCATCAAAGACCCAGAACAAAAAATCCTATCAATGTGAATGAGGGGGCATGCACCATGGAGACCCAAAGCCCATCTGTAGACAATTGGACATCCCCTTACAGATGGGTCACAAGGAGGAGATGAGCCAGTCAGGGTGCACTATAGCACCATTGAACCATACAACTTTCCTCTAATTCTTTAATAACCCCCCCACTATCATGACCCCAATTCTACCTTACAAATCCGGTTAGACCAGAGGATGTACACTGGTACAGATAAGAGTTGAAACACAGGAAATCCAGGACAGATAAACCCCTCAGGGCCAACAATGTGAGTAGCGATACCAGGAGGGTAAAAGAAGAAGGTGGGGGGGATATAAGCCCCTTCCTGGGGGATGGATAACAGAAAAGTGGGTGAAGGGATATATCGGTCAGTGTAAGACATGAAAAAATAATAACAATTTATAAATTATCAAGGGTTTGTGAGAGAGGGATGGTGGGGGAAGCTGGGATAAAAATGAGGAGCTGATACCAAGGGCTCAAGTAGAAAGAAAATGTTTTGAAATTGATGGCAACATATGTACAAATGTACTTGACACTATGGATTGTGATAAGAGCTGTATGAGCCCCCAATAAAATTTTTTAAAAATTAGATATATAAGAAAATTAGCATTTCCATAGATTAAATATTCTTCACCAAATATAATAATGATGACCAGGGACTGCCAGAAGAAATACAATGAGAATGCACCTTAGAAATAAGGCTAGTGAGACTTTGGCTTGCTTTCTTTGGGCACATCATGCAGAAATTCCAATTGGGAGAAAAGGACATCACGTTGATAAGGAAGAAGGTCAGTGAAAATGAGGGAAACCCTCCATGAGATGGACTGACACAGTAGTCATAACATGTACTCAAACAGGCTGGCACTCATGAAAATGGCACAAGATCCTTCTGCTATACAGGATACCAGGAGTCAGAGCAGGTTAAATGACAAATAACAACAATGAATATTTATGCACTAGTTAAAATAATATTTAAATGGAATCTATGCTTATTCTATAAGGCTAAGTCAAAAATATTGCTCCTCAGTTGTAATTCATACATATGTTTATTATAAACCAAACCTGTTTAAACACAGGTCTGAGATTAATGGGTAACTGCAGATAATTTCTCTTGATAATACACTTATCTTAGTCTCTGTAAAGTGCCTTCATAAAAAGGATACGTTTTACATGGAAAATAAACAATTTTGAGGTCAGGCCTAATACAGCATTTATAACAAAACTCACCTGGCTTAGCATTTGCAATTTTAAGTGAACATCGTGGCCTCAGCAAACTTTTAGTTTATGGGTGCAAAAAGTATTTTGAGATCAGTCAGCTCAAAGTGCTGATTTTTCTATCAGTATTTTAAGCATCACGAAACCAATAAAGAGGCTCTTCTGGAATGAATTTTAACAGGACAAATCCAATATGATCCAGAGAGCAAAGTCCAATCCAAACAGTGGCTTCTGAGAGGATCTGTTTTGACAGGTACATTTCAGGCAGAGAGGCAGGTTAGGAGACTATAGCAACTGCTGTTTGAGATGCCAAAGGGGTAAGCCTGACACATTTTCTTGAAGGACACAAGGCAATCACAGGACACAAGGCACAAGGCACAGGACACAATCTTGAAGGACACAAGGCAATCTTATAAAGAAGTTTCCCGATAGGTGAAAACTGCATCGGTGAGAAAAAGGCCAGGAAAGACGTGCTGAGGAATGTTTCCCATGAAGACAATGCACTTGCTCAGAGCTGTCCTATGAGAATTTAATTGGGGCACTTTATCCTATTTCCCCTACAGCCCCGATCTTGCCCCTTTTTCAAGCTTCATTTTCTGCCTCAAACCCCAACACATCTCAAAGGAGCATAATTTGGGTCCCTCATGGATGACAAAAGTGCCACTTTGGCATGATGTAAATTGAAGAGTTCAAAATTCTTTGAGGAGAATGTTACAGAGGTGGACACACTGCCTTCAGAAGTATATCAATGTAGATGGAGGAAGTGTTGAGAAACAACTGTTTCACAATTTGATATTTTAAAATAAAGGTTTTTATGGCTTTGTAGCAATTTTTTAAAACTTACCCTTAGATGTCTTACTATCAGAAAAGTTGAGTTGCTATCTAGGTAAGTCTGTTTGCCAATAAAACAAAAACAAAGAGTTCTCATATAATACTAAAAGGTTTGTTTTTAAAACTCCCAAGGACTTGACTTTTTAACCTGCAGAGCACTAATGCTTGCTATGCATCGCTACATTTGTGAGAATGCCTGTTGCAGAAACTGATTTACTTGATATGGAAAAGCATACTCATATTTGCCCTCTGTGGCTTATATTACTTCTCACCAACCTGCCGCCTGGGGCACGGTTCATTTACCCGGAATACTCTCCACTAGTATGGAAGACTGAGAGGCTTTCTAGCATTTGGAACACGTAGCTACAGATATTTCTCTTTGTAAAAAGTTGTTAAAAGCAAGGTAAAATGATTATAATACAGAGTTCCTGAACTGTTTCTGTGTGTATGTGCATGCCATTGACTTTTCGAGACTCCTGACAACTATGAAACCCCTTGTTAAAATAATGTTATTAAATTAATAAAATAAAATGTATAGAATTATAATGGAAACATATTATATTGTAAAACACTTTTTCCATAGACTCTTCAGAATTCTTGAACCAGATTAATTGCAGAATTTTTGCATCTCTTTTCCTTTAATGCAAGATTAGATGTTAATGACTGAAATAGTGATCATTCTATCACACCATTAAGTATTAGAATGTCACTCTTTTGCTACAAAGACAGTGCTTCAGCCTGGACTTGTACACTATTATCATTAACATTTCAAGTATTAAAAAAACATGACACAATACTCCTATTAACTTATGTTTAGTTACTCTAAAGTTCAGATTTCAACATCTCAGGAAACTAAAGACAACAAAATGATGCTCTTAAGAGCAGCAATTAAATTCTACACATAAAAATCCTAATTATTTTTTCCCCCTAATCTATTTATTTAAACACTTTATTGAGGGCTCTTACAGCTCTTATAACAACCCACACATCCATTGCATCAAGGACATTTGCACATACGCTGCACCATCCTTTTCTGTTGGGTCCTTGGTGTCAGCTCCTCTTCCCTCCTTCTCCCCCTTGTGGCACTTCATACATTATAGATGATGATTATTTTTATATCTCATACCGACCACTGTCTCCCTTCCCCCATGTTTTCTGTTGTTCATCACCCTGGGTGGTAGTGGGGAGCAAATCCGAATTCTTTAAATCTGTCAGTGACTCTGATTGAGCTGAAAAATACTACTACTTAAATGCATTGAGATGAAATAAATACAGGTGATATGAACTTCCATTTCAGTTTAAAATAAGAACTCTTTAAACAACACATAATATTCCCTTTCTAAGAAGATAGGAATATGAAAATTGTCAAATATAACAGCTATGGGAATCAATGATTGATAATTAAGTCTTTATAGAGTGGCTGCAAAAAAAAGGCTGGACCATGACAACTGTGGGGATGGCACAGGCCAGGCAGTGTTTTCTTTCATTGTGCACGGGGTAACTGTGAGTCAGGGTCACTGTTGAGTGACTCAATGGTACCTAACAACATGGTTTTATTACAATGATATCCATATTTCACTGTGTTCACGATGAGGCACATCCTCATATAATTATACTATTACATATGAGAAACCAAGAGTTATGATTCTGGGCTGGAACCTTAATAATTTTTATTACTTCTCAAAATAGAGATATTGGCTTGATTTCACTGAATGTCCATGGAATATATTTCTTAATGTAACATTGTAGTACATTATAGAGTTCAATCTGAATCCTAGAGCAGATCTAGTTGCATTTTCTTCATTAATTTTTTATTATTTTAATAAAATCAAACAAAAAAATTAACTCGGGTGTTGCTAGTTTCAATAAAATCTACATGCAGGCTCTGCTTTTGCCATAGTTAAAGCTGACAGCCATTGACTGCTGTAGAGCAGCGATCACAGTAAGAAGAGACTATGGGCTGAGGGCTTCAACAGAGTTAAGTGTAATCTTGAAAGTGAGGTAATTGCCTTACTAACACTTCTAATGCTAACAGAATGATATTAGTTGTTAAATCTAATGTTTACTAAATGATTAATTGAACTGAAAGTGAAGTATTACTTAGGGCTTGTCTTATTGAGAGTTCCAATGCTTCGCCTATGCAATGGACAACTTATTTTCATGAATTGTAGAAGTAGCTAATTGGAAGCCTATGATTCATTTTGTGTTCTGGTCCAAAAATAACATAAATATCCAAAATTTATACTTTCAGAAGAGAAAATTTGGAAACTTGAAATAAGATTGATGAAAAACAAAAACAATGGAAACAAGCATCTTACTTTAATTGGTTCAGGCTGCATCACAGGTGCAGGCATAGCAATGGCACTTGGAGCATAAACCTGGTGATACGTGGCTTGAACTCCATGATCGGAATAAGGCTATTCCAAAAGAGAAAGAAATAGAAATCCGCATTGCTTTTCATTTATTCAAAACATTCTTTCAACATTTGTAATATATTAGGCAAACTGCTTCAAAATAGAGAATCACAAATGAAAAACATATTTCCTAGTTTAATTTATATTTTAAAGTACTGGTTCCCAAATTTATTTGGCCTACCATCCTCTTTTTAAAACCAAAACCAAACAAAACTACGCACCCCCCCCCACCACCCTCCCCCGGCAATTTAAAACTTTGTACTATAACCCATAATCCAGGATAAAGTGTTGGCATCTGCTTTCACCGCTTTCCTGGATCATTACAAAAAGCCCTGGTGGTGTAGTGGTTACAGAATGGGCTACTAATTGCAAAAGCAGCAGTTTAAAACCACCAGCTTTCCTGTGGGAGAAAGACAAGGCTTTCTACTCCCATAAAGTTTACAGTCTTGGAAACTCACAAGGGCAGTTCTACCTTGCCCTAGAGCAGTGGTTCTCAACCTTCCTAATGCCATGACCCTTTAATACAGTTCCTCATAAAACTATTTTCGTGGATACTTCATATCTGTAATTTTGTTAGTTATGAACTGGGCGACCCTGTGAAAGGACTGCAACCACCAGGTTGAGAGCCGCTGCCCAGCATGGTCACTGTGAGTGGACGTTGGCTCAATGGCAGTGAGTCTGGGTTTAGTTTGTCTGGATCATTCCAGCACTCCCCAGGGACAGATATCACCCACTTTGGGAAACAGTGGTTTAGAGAAATACACAAACTGGAAAAATTAATAAAGTCATGTGAAATGGACAGCAATGCCTGGGAGAAAAGTACTATTTGATTTAGCTTAAGAAAGAGGGTCATCAGGAAATATTTCCCAGTGGAGTTTATGTGAAGAATTAAGAAGGAAGGAATAGTATGAGCAAGGCATAAAAGCAGGAGAGGCCGAGGGAACGAGTAAAGTCACAGAAACAAGAACACAGTTCACTTGGGAAATCTACTTGGGTTGTTTGATGTGGCCGTTTGGTTACACACTAAGGGACAATTGAAAAACAAGGATACAGAGCACAGGAAAGAAATATATCATGTAAAAGCAGACTTGTAGTTTTCCACCAGTTAGGGTTACCATTTGTTGTGATATAGAGGATAAGAAACGTTTGAATTTTATGTAATTGTGAGGAGGTTAGAAGCGAGGGGAGAGGGTTCAGAGAAGGGGCAAGAAGTGACGTAAAATATGAGGCATTTGTAGGACTTCCAGTAGAATTTCCTATGGAGTGACAGGTAGATGGCTCCAGAGTAGCACTGTCCAATGGAAATATACTGAGAGCCATATATGGAATTAAAAAATTGACAGTAGACACATTAAAAAGAAACAGGTGAAACTAATTTTTGACAATATATGAGGGGGTACCCCCCTGAAAAAAAAACCCAGAATTTTTTTCAAAGCCATGTATTTAATTAAAAAAACACACCTTATCGCCCCTCAAAGTACTATTAGACTTAATACATTTGTCAAATCTGTGATTCCAATCCTGGAAACATTTTTCAAACGCATCTATTTGGATGGCTGACAGCATCTCCCTCGTTTTTTTCTTCACCTCTTCTATGTCATCAAATTGCTGTCTTTTCATGTCCCTCTTCATTCACAGAAACAAAAAGAAGTCACATGGAAAGAGGTTAGGTGAGTAAGGTGTGTGGGATAAGAGGCAAGCTGTTTTTGCCAAAAATTGGTGCACTGAGATGCTATGTGAGCAGGTGCATTGTTGTGGTGGCAAAATCAGTACCCTGTTGGCCACAGATCAGGCCTTTTTTGTCACACACTGTTACACAATCTTTTCAGAATCTCTAAATAGAAAGCTTGATTAACAGTCTGACCTGGTGGAATGAACTCCAAATGCACTATCCCCCTCACATAACGACAAAAAAAAAAGCTCACTGTCTTGATTTTTTATTTCACTTGATAAGCTTTTTTTTTAGCGAGGTGACAATGACATCATCCAATGGCTTGATTGATGTTTGCTTTAGGGGTCGTAAGCATAGCAGCATGTCTAGTCACCAATAATGACCTTGGAAAAAGTCTGGATTGCTAAGGAGCTGTTCCTTCAAAGCACAGCATGCTTCCACTCGACACTTTTTCCTGGGTAGTCAGAACCCAAGGCACAATTTTCATAGGGACCCTTCTCATCCCAAATCTTCCATTAAAATTCGCTGAACGGAGCTTCCAGATCATCCAGATAATTTCCCCATCTCTTCAATGGTCCGTCATTGGTCTTTGAGCACAAGGGCATGTATTTTGTCGACATTTTCATCTGTTCGAGAAGTTGAAGGATGTCCAGAATGATGTTTGTCATCAATCAACATTTCACTTTTGAAATGAGATAACCATTCGTACACTCGAATGTAGCATTGTGCTTGTAAGTTGTGTTCAACATCACAACAGTTTCTGTAGCATTTTTCCTGAGCAGGGAACACAATTTCACAGCCGTAAGCTGTTCTCTTAAATCGATTATCACAAAAAACAAGGTTTGAGCAAAACTACTTTTTTGAAAAAATTCACTGTGACCAGAGAACCTCCCCAGACGACGCCACTGGGTGCACTTACTCAGAGTGTGTTGCTGGATACTTACCCACCAGGAAAAATGTGTACTGCGAAAGCTCTGCCCAGCAGTTTTTTTCTGTCTTCTTTTGGGTACTCTCTCAAATTTTATGTACACCAATATATTAAAAATACCACTTCAAATTGTTAGCAATATAGATATAATTGACGTATTTATATATTTTTATTGTTTTATTTTGCACTTACGACAAATCTCAATTCAGACTAGCATATTTCAAGTGCTCTGTAGCCACATGTTTTAGACAGTGCAGGTCTAAAACTCAGGAAAGAAGTTGGGGCTAGAGAAATTGGTATACTTGTTAACAGCAGAGTGAGAATATAGGGTGAAAGAACAGAGAACATATGAAACCCTAACGAACATAAGATCAGATTACAAACAAAAGTAAAAGGATTTCCAGGAAAGATCAATAGCATTGAAGAAATTCACTAAGTCCAATGTCTCTGATAGGTCAAGTAAGGTTGAAAAAAAGAGAATTTGGCAGTTATGATGTCATTAGTAGTGTTTATCAAAGGTCGTTTCAGCCAGAGGTAATGAAGCATACTTCAGCAGGAGAAAGGTGAATGGGTAGTGTGGAGGTAGTGAATGTAGACTGCTGTGTGCTGTTGATTCTGACTGAACCAAATATAATAAACTGGAACTGCCCTATTGGATTTTCTAGGCTGTACTCTCCAGGTCTTTTCCCCCATGGAACCACTAGTGGGCGCCAACGCCTGAACTTCCAGTGTCACCGAGGCCCCTGGATATAGACTTTTTTTGGGCATTTGGGCATTGATAGGCATTGTGTAAAATAATAATAACTGCCTCCTACAAGGTGTTGGGATGGTGTACAGGACTTGACTACTAGTTGAAAAGTTTGAGGTTCAAACCCACCCAGAGGCTTGTCAGGAGCAAGGCCTGGAGAGCTGTACTGAAAGGTCACAGTTACTGAGAACTCCATGGAGGGTGGCTTCACTTTTCACACAGGAGCCAGAATGGGCTCAACAGCAGTGGGTTTCCTTTTGGCTAAAAGAGGAAAAAGAACTAGCAAGTAGTCTAAGAATGGATGTGGCTTCTTTCCATCCTCTCCTAATTCTGTCAAGGAAAGAGAAAGCTGAAGAAAAAGACGAGGAAATATCCCAGAAAACAGAGGGAAGATTCAGATAAATATACTTAAAAAAAAAACAATATTAAGGAAATTACCATATACACTCAAATATAAGCCGGCTTGAATATCAGCTGAGGCATCTAATTTAAAAAAAATCATTTTATTGGAGGCTTGTACAACTCTTATCACAATCTATATACACATCTATTGTGTCCAGCACATTTGTACATTTGTTGCTATCATTATTCTCAAAACATTTGCTTGCTATTTGAGCCCTTGGTGTCAGCTTCTC